AATCAGCTTTAAATAAAATATTAATTGACCGTTTATTGTTAATGCAAAAAAATTATAAGTTTTATATTGAGTGAAAAGTGTGCAAATACTTTTGTCCACCCTCTATACAAGTGAATTGATCAAGTATATTTAGTAACTAATAGTTACTTTTTTATAAGAATTTAGTTACTTTTATATATTTTAATTCGTGATTCGCCGATTAGTAATATAAAATCCTCAGTATAATGTAGGCAAAATTTTGCCAATCACTAATTAATTACGAAAATTAGCCACTAAGTAACACAATTTTATATGCAATTTTCAGCCACCTCCTTTTCGTAAATACATCACTATAACTACACACTTTAATCAAAATAACTTTTCAATAATTTTGTTTTTCAATTTCAAATGATTTATTAGTGAACAATATCAGATTATTGCCTCTAATATATATAGACCTCTTTCATAATTTCAACCTATACAATTCTAATATTTGTTCAAATTTTGGGGTTATAGTTTATAAACTTGTTTTAATAATAAAAAAAAGATAAAAAAGCCATATTTTGTTTATTTTTGACGAATTTTTATTGAAATTGCTGAAAGTTAAACACAAATTTCATATTATCAAAAAAGAAATAATTTCTATATTTTTCAATATAGCAAAACTATCAGTTATCTGAAAGAATCAGTTTTAAAATGTAAAATTTATTATAATCTTTTATTCGCAATTTATTTATCAAAGCATTTATTTTTCTAAAAATTATTCTGCATATTCTTTTTTGATAAACTTAAATATCTAGTAATCTAATTTTTTATTATTTTTAGAGAAGGTATCACTTCAGTTATAATTTCGCCATTTTCTGCTATTTCTTTCAACCCATTTAGCATATCCTTTGCAGTGTATCGATCACTAGGATTATATTATCTAACTATAAAAAAGTGATTTAACGCTGTTACTACTTCTTTTACTAGTTTTTTTCCACTGTCTTTTTTACTATATTTCTGATTACATTTAAGTACCTATCTGAGTTGTAGGTAAAATATTTGACTCCTATTATATTTTGGAAGTTTTTGAGCATTTAATCAATAATAATCAATTATTTTATATAATAAAACCAATTTTACTTACTTATCTATATCTGTTTTTGAGAAATCTTCTCTTGATTCTTCACAAATTTGTGATTCTTTTCCTATTTCTTACTTCAATAAATTTACCAATTCATCTCGTCTCATACCAATATCAAATTAAATATTTCTTCTGTTCAATTCATTTTTTAATTTATCAACTGACCACCTTTTTAAATCCCAATGATTAGTATTTGATACTACCAAATGAAAATTGATCAAATGAAATCATACAATAAGTATGATTTATTAAATTGAAATGCTATTAATGCCATTGAAAAAATAAGCTTACTTGAAGCTCGATATATTAGTATTGTCCATTTTAAAGAAGCCTTGGAATATTCACCTACTATTGGTCTAGGCTATACAAGTTCTGTTTTAGTAAACTTACTCACAGAAAAAGTTATCATTTTTCCAAAATTAAAAGATCGCGTGCACAAATATATCTAGCTAAGGGACCCTCTGTTAGCCAAGATCATTTAAACTAATTAGAAATTCCTGATATAGTTTTAATATTACTTTGACTTCTTTGATCACAATTAGGTTTCAAGTAAGTTATTGCTATATCGCTTAAACCATCTAATACCTTTTTAATATCTTCACCAGTAATTAAATCAAACCCTAATCAAACATATCTCTTAATAGCATGTGAGATCTTAGGTTGATTAAATTAAAAAGGTTGAGAATTGCTTGAATAAATATGTTCGTCAAAAAAAGCAAAGTAAATATAATTATTACTTGTGCATGGTAACTATCAATTGAAGTTTTAGCTTCGCCTATCTCTAAAAAATACCACTTTTTACATTCAATATTATACCATTCTGCCTATTTTGAAACCAATGCTATTGTTTCTAAACAATAATAATGTGAAACATTATCACTCATTACGATAACCCATTTTAGCTTTAGATCAAGTAAGGTAAATACTGTATTAAAGGATGAAGCAGTAAACCACTCGTCTTGTCTATTATCATTTGATTAATGGTCAAATGCTTGAATTTCTAATTCGTTGCTATCTTGATTTTTAGAATATATCAAAACAGTATGCAGTACCCATCCACATTTTGCATAAAAGTCTTGTTTTGTTTCTCAAATTCATTTTGGTAATATTCGCATCTTATAGTCCACTATAATAAAAATACCATCGTTATTAAGTTGCAAAAGATTTGCATTGAATTGACTGTTCAAATACCCTTTTCTTGTTAGGTATGCAAAATAGTATTCTAGCATTTTCTGAAATTCTCTCAATGTTTCTTGTTATTCATCTTCAAGTAATGATCGCAATTCCTTAAATAAATTGAAGATTTCATTATATTCAACATACTTTGATATATAATCCTCATCACAATTACTTGCAAATAGTAGGCAATGATTAATTCAAAGGTTATGCGATACTTTTTCATCACATGTCACATGTAAGTGTTTTGGATAATCACATTTAAGAAATCATTTAGTTTTTTTAATACTTTTAAGTAAACATGTCTAATTTACAATTTTGTTATTAGTTTTGAATATTTTATAATTATAGAAACAAAAATTAGACAAAATAATACCTATAGTTCCTGATTTTCTATATTTTATATAATTAGATTCGCTAAATCCTTAAACATATCATATTCATATGTACTACAAGTATTACAAAGTCTACTTAAATCCTCTTGATATACAAATGGTCCATTTCTCAATCTTTCTAAAAATTCTGATCTCTTCATTCCTTCAGAATACAATTTGTGAAATTTTCCCAAAGAGCTTCTTTCTGATCACTAAGATATTTTCATAACAACCCTGTTTTAGCATCAACCTTGTAAGAATTTAAATTCACATTTTCCTTATTGCTTATGAATCATTCAAATTGATCTTCATGCTCTTGAGGCATAATTTTTATCGCATAGGTGGCTTAAATGTAGCTAGACATCTGTAGCCAAATATATGTCCATATATTTTTGCATTGTGAATTGTATATGCAAAAACCTACAAAAGATAATGAATTAACTTGCGAAAAATTTATTCAAAGGTAATTATAAAATAATTACATGAAGTCTGGTTTGTAATTCTTTATAAGAAAACTTATCTGCAATTATTGAAAATATTCTTTGTTTTTCATTAGTGTTATGTTTATTTAAACTCAAACTATGCTCAAAACTTTTCTAGAATACTTCTGTAGCATTGAACATATTACTTGGTATTGTTCGTAAAAAACCATTTTGATAAAGCATATTGATCATTGCTTTATCTGATTTAGGATCATATGATTATGTTTAAAATTCATATTATAATAATTGGTAAGAAAATTTATTAGTTGATAACACACTTGCATTATCTTTATTAGTTATATTTTATTAAACATGAAAAAACATGTATAAATGCAAAAATTAATAAAAATATAACATTATTTTTTATTTATAATAGAACAAAATTTAACATGTGCTGTTCATCACAGAATTTATATCACAATATACCACCATTATAGTTATTACTATCACTACCAGATTCATGAAATATTAACGTGAGATTTTTGCTATTGAAGGTAATAGATTTGTTTAAAAGCTTACCTCTGATTCTTTTTTATCAAATGGTGTTATATTGATAATGCTCTGAACGGTTCAGTTCAGTCTGAATTATAGGTCAATCCGAAACCGATCTGAAAATTTCAGTTCAGTTCAGTTCAGATTATAAATCTTAAAAATGCTAATCTGAAATCGAACTAAATCATAAACTGGTAAAAATCTAAACTGAACTGAAAATTTTGGATTAATCTGAAATTTTGGATCATTTGAAATGATCCTTTTATCGTTCTTTTAGAATGATAATTTAATCGTTCCAATCGAACGATTCTTTTATCGTTCGTTTGGAATGATAATTTAATCATTCCAATTGAACAATTCTTTTATCGTTTGTTTAGAATGATAACTTCAATCGTTCCAAATGAACGATTCTTTTATCATTCGTTTAGAATGATAATTTCATCGTTCCAATCGAACGATTTTCTTATCGTTCATTTAGAATGATAATTTCATCGTTTCAATTGAACGATTTTCTTATCATTTGTTTGGAATGATAACTTTAATTGTTCCAAATGAACAAATCTTTTATTATTCGTTTGGAACGATAATTTAATCGTTTCAATCGAACAATTTTCTTATCGTTCGTTTGAAATGATAACTTCAATCGTTTCAAATGAACAATTCTTTTATCGTTCGTTTGGAACGATAATTTCATCATTTCAAACGATCCGAAATTTCAGATTAAAATTTTTGCAATCTGAAACCAAACTGAAGTTGATCTGAACTGAAAATTTTCGGATTAATCTGAACCGTTCAGAGCTTTATATATTGATACATCTTGTAACACGTAATATCGCTCGCTATACTCTCATTTCTCTTTCTAAGAAAATATAACCATTTGGATATAACGAAGCTAATTGACTATGTAATTCAATTAATAGACAATTATTTTCTTTCCATTTCCGAAATAACAAATACCAATCAACTTGACTACATGTTTTTTTTTGTAAATGATATCTGAATATTTGTTTCATTTTTGAATAATTATATCATTTATTATGAAAACATATAAATTTTTTCAATTGTTCTAGTTTTTTTTTACGTTAAAATTATTTAAGCCAAATAAAGTCTTGCTTAACTATTCTTTTAACATGCTCATTTTTTTCCACACAATATTAGGATCTGATTCATAAAATTCTTCAGATAATTGGTTTTCTTTATAAATATAAATAGAACTTTCATTCTCATTGACAGTTTGAAAAAATAAAGCACGTTCTTTGGACTTGATATAGATAAAGGATAATGCAAATCTACCTCCAACTCCTTTGTTTGTTGACACGCTAATTGAATATATTATTATATTGATTTTTTGTATATTTATTGAAAAAGGTAAAAAGGATAAGTCTGATACAATTTCACTTAAAATGTTATTGTCGCTCTACTAGAATGTTCACAATGTAAACGCATACATGACAAGGATCAGCAGTAGTTTGGTCATGTATGTGCTAGTAATAGAATGTACATTATAAAATGCTTTCAGCAAAATAATGATAAGCGTGAGAAAGTTTTTGAATGCAACCTATTTATTGCAGAAAAAATTCAGAAAGAAAATAAAAATTCTCCACAATCATCTCATAAGGTAAAAGCCTCTAGTTTTCCTAAAGCCTTCATAAAATTCCCATCTTAGATCAAGTATAATGACCTCTTACAACGACAGAAACATATGAGAAGAAGTATGTAAAACAATTATTCAACAAAGGTGATTGTTATGTTAAATCGCTTTGAGAAACGAGAAAAATCTATATTCTTGAAAATTTGGCTATCCCTAATGATATAAATTTGCTAGTATTATTTACGCGTTACTCTTACTCAAATGCTGTTACTACAAGGCTTAATCTTAAGTCATATTGTGATATCAATGGTAATATAAATCTGCTTGATCATAAGAGAGTAGTATGCTAGATACAAAGCTTACATCGTATTACTAATAACTATAAATACAATAAAAAATGCAAATGTCTTCTAATCCAATATGACTTATGGCTTGATGAAACAGTGTCTATAATTGCTCAAGCACAAAGTCATTTGGCAAGACAATTGATAAAAAAATTATATAAATTAATCCAAAATGCAAAGCGCATTATTGTAATGAATAATGATTTAACTAACCTTAATATTGAATGGATTAGGACCCTTCATAAGGATAAAGTATTTTCAATTATCCATAATACTTATCAACTACAGAAAGGTAAGACTTTCCACTTAGTTTCTAATAAAGAAACTGTATTAGCTGAACTCTGGAATTGGGCTAAGAAATTGTTTTCACTACCTTTTGAGAATTAGAAAAGTGTTTCACTTATCTGCTATCTCAGAAAGGATATGCAAGAGATTGTTCATGCTCTTAAAACTGATTTTTCAGAATTATGGATTAAGGAATATTATGGTAAATTTAATTCAGTAGAAAAGACTTACAATTTCAGTAATGTTGAAGAAGCATGAAAAGCCATAGACCTAGTTGCTTATACTAGCACTCTAAAAATAGGAATATCTTACACTAATCCTAATTTTAAGCAAGCATTTTATCTCTTTAATAATTATATAAAAATAATGCCAGAATGAATCAGATATTATTTCGCATACAGTGCATTAAAGATTATATATGTCATATTGAGCAAAGTTCATCTAATATTACTATTATAGAAGAAGGATTATTTCGATGATTATTGAATGCTAAATGTGAATGTCTCCTTCAAGAACTTCAGAATAGAGGAATATTTCTGAATATCGACTCTATTATTCAGAATAAGAAAGTACTAATTATTCATTTATAGGTGGTATATATGTTAGAAAAATTTCGATCTCATCGTTTATTTAACTAGAGAATAGTTAATTTTCTCTAAATGTGGGTATAGTAATTTCTGTTATAGAACTCATTCCTAAACCTGAAAATACTATAATGTCATTATTCTAAACAGTAAAGACGAGTTCTTTTACCATTAAAGCTGAGGAGATAGCAGATGTATCTAATGCTACTATTGTTGATCGTGAGATTGCTGAATTATTGAAGAATAAACTAAAGAAGACTTTAGAAGAGATGCGCTTTTTAGACTAGTATCATATTGTGAATTGTTATGAGATTTTGCCTGAATCATTGACTGAAAGTTTCATCTCAAAGTATGAAAATTACAATCACATGAAATGGTTTAGAGCTTATAAGCAATTATGAGATACTAGTACTAACAATGAAATGGCTGTTAAGGCTATATTCTGTAAAGATTACAAAGAAGATAGGCTCACAACTGCAACTCAGGCTGAGAGGCATCAAATTTACCTAGAATTATTAAGAATTTGCACACTAGCTAGAGATATTAATAATAGAGTATGATATAAAGCTGATGAAGTTAAAATTTGCATAAGTTCTTCCAAATTGACATTGTATCTTCAGGGTTTAGTGTCTAAAATAGCTCAAATATTTGATAATACAGATGCACTGTGCAATGCTAAAAAATCAGAATTAAAAACAATCTGAAAGAAACTTGGTTTATTAAATGCATCCCTTTATGCAACTTATGGATTGAAATTTAAGGTTATTGATAAAAGTCAAAGATATTATCATTTAGTTAGTTTATTTGATAGCAAGGATGTCTCCAAATTTCCTTCATACCAAACAGGAAAAGAAATTTATTGGGAAAATGGTAAAGATACTCGATATGAATATAGTAAGATCTCACCTGATGAATTATTATTAAGTAATCTTTCTAGTTCTAATAAGGTTGATAATACACAAATTTCAAAAGATATTTAAAATTTATTTGATATGTGTTAATGTTATACTTGAATATTTATCTAGAAAAATGTAATCTTCTTCTAATTTTTTATATAAGATTATGAAGAAGACTATACTTATTCAGGTAGGTATCATTAAAAAAAATTTTTACTTCAGTCAGAATACATAATCATATACTTTAAGATGTAAGCTTCTACCAAAATTTTATATAATAATCGACTATTAATATTTTTTTACTTACTTTCCAGCAGATAATTCAAAGGAGATCCCTAGTGCTCTAATTTTTGAGTTAATCACTAATCCCCAAAGAAGTTGAGACCTATATCCTCATTATCTAATTCAAAAACTAGAGCTTCATAGATTCTGGATAACTCTGAAGCTGAACCTTTAATTACAACCATATCATCTAGTATTTTGACCTGGATTGAATTTGTTAAATTTCTTTCTAATGAATCTGCAAATAGTTGTGAAAAAGTGAGAAATAAGTATTTATAAATTGAAGCATTACTATCGTCTGACTCAAAAATTAGAGCTTCAGGGATTTTGGGTTAAAGGGCCTTAGCCCCATACTTTTGTCTCATCTGATAATTTAGCAAATAAAATCTATCCAAATGATCAAAACAACATCCCGTAGTAGAAACAGTATATTTACAACAACCACTAATAAGGTAGGGTTTTTTTCTATATTTTTTTATACAATTTTTAGTGCCTATAACACCCAGTAGAGATACAGCACTTATTATCACAAATAATGTTATCCTTCTTAATATGTGCACAAGTAAAGCAAGCTATGATCAATGACGTTAAAGTAAAAGTATTTTAGGATATAAAACTCTCTTTCATTTTTAATTTCATAATAAAATATGTATTTAAATTAATCAGTATTATAATAAAATAAATTATCTTTTTGTACTTACACTATGAA